TTTCTATATGTGGGACCGATCTTTAATATCCTTGGAGTATGTGCCTAGCGGTGGGATCTCTGCCAACCTCTTAATTTTAAAGAATTAAAGACTGAGGCCACCGAAGTTAAGTGATTTGTCCAAGGCCACACAGGTAATAAATAGTTGTGCTGGAATTTGAACTTAGACATTTTGACTCTAAATCAGGAACCTTTTCACTATACCATATTCCCTCCAAGGTCTACTGGGTATAAATTACTTTGCAAACCTTTAAACATCATGTAACTATCAGCTGTTATTATTACTATTAATAATGATATCTGGCCTCAATTTTTTTATCTGTAAAATGATGAGGTTGGTCTAGGTAATCTCTAAGATTCCTTTGAGCTCTAAATTTTATAATCTTATGTCTGGGGACTCATCTACTAGTCAAGACATATCTTATAATTTAATTATCACCTTCCATAACCAATTCTTCCTCCCAGGCCTGTTCTTCTCTCTCTCTCTCTCTCTCTCTCTCTCTCTCTCTCTCTCTCTCTCTCTCTCTCTCTCTCTCTCTCTCTCTCTCTCTCTCCTACATCTCTTGGCTCTGATCAGATGTGGTCAAGGTTTAAGGAGGCCAGGGGAGTGCTGGAATTTTGGCCTAGGGATTGGCTGATAGAGAAAGGACTGAGAAAGTTTCAGAACCTTGGGAATTTGGGTTAGACACAGCTGATCTCAAAGAGTTATGTCCACTGCTCTTAGGCAAGGACATTCTTAAGCTGAGGGTCTGGGGAAAGGGACAAGTTAGTTGCATCAGCTTGAAGTCTGATACTCATTTTTGGTCCCTGTTTTCCTCTCTGTTCAATAATTGGCAGGATGATGAACATACCCCTCTCCCCTTAGTTCTAGCCCAGTCATCGTATGAGTAGATTAATAATAATAATAATAATAATTCACATTTAGATAGTGCTTTAAAATTTACAAAGCATTTTACTCTCAACAACCCTGTGAGTGAGGTAGTGCAAGGATTATTACCTCTGTTTTACCTATGAGGAAACTGAGGCTATGAGAAATCTAGGTAATTGTCTTGCGTCACACAGATTTCAAGTTTTGAACCAGGTTTCCAATATGGGTCTTCTGATTAAGGCAGGGATTCTTAACTTGAGATCTGTGAACTTGTTAAAAAGGGTTTTTTTTGGTTAACCATTTCAATATAATTGGTTTTCTTTGTCATTCTGTGTATTTTATTTTATTCACTTGAAAACATTGTTCTGAGAAGGGGTCCATAGGCTTCACCAGGTTGCCAAAGGGGTCAGTGGTACAAAAGCTTAAGACCAGCTGCTTTTAGGTATCTTCCAGCTCTAATATTTCATGGATTTGTGGTTATGTAGGCTGTGGGCTATGGTGTGCGTTTGTCAGGAATGTGGCTATGGCAGTCATGGGACTGGATGGACCAGTGCATATGGACTGATCTGGGGAAGGTGATGAGATGAGCTTAGTCAGGAAAGGACTGGCTCTCCCCAGGCTTGTGCTCACATGTGGTTACTGGTATGCCAGGACTCCAGGGTCCTTGGAGTGGGGTGAATCAGGCTAATGCTTTCTCCACTTTTACTCCAGAAGCTGTCAATCTGAGCTCCAGAATCTTCCTCTATCCCTTCACCTCCACTGCCCAACCCACCCCATACCATGCCAGTCCTTGGGTCTCGGCCGCCTGCTGTTTACTTGGGGCTGGGCCTCCCCTTTGGAATGGACAGCTCTAGTGGTGGAAGGAGAAAGGAGCAAGGCAAGGTCTGTGCACTATGGCGCCACCTAGCTGCCATTTATGTATCATTATCATTATATGTTATTCCTCTAACCTACACCAATACCCTGTCATGCCTTGAAGATGATCTTGGGTTCTTGAAGGTGAGGCTGTTGGAGTGGAGTGTGATCTCAGCAGGTTCTACTAAGCTGGAAAGTTACAGGTACAGTGATGGACAATACGTCTGTTATTAAGTTTGCAGAGGTCAGGCACAGCCCTTTAGGCCCCACTGGTATCACCTAGACCACCTGGCTCTGGAGTCCAGAAGAGCTGAGTTCAAATTCAGCAAAGACTTCCATACCTATATGATCCGCATCTATTTAATCTTTCTCAGCCTCAGTTTCCTCATCTGTGAAATGAAAATAATAATAGTGTTAACCTCATAGGGTTATTGTGAGGATTGAATGTGATAACACATGTAAACCACTTTGAAAACCACGTACAATGCTATATTAATTAGATATTATTATCTATAGGGGGTTGTATTTTCTCCTTATCTGTAAAATAGGGGTAATAAAAGCACCCACCTCCCATGTAGCTATGAGGATCAAATGAGATATTTTTAAAGCCCTTTGCAAATCTGAAAGCACTACATAAATGCTAGCTTTTATTTTATTTTTTAAAATCATATTTTATTTTTTCCCTAACTACCTGTAAAAAATTTTAACATGTTTTTTTAAAATTTTGAATTATGGATTGATTTTGGCCCTCTTGAATTGTTTGAGTGTTCTTCCTTAATAATAATTCAGATGTCCATGAAATTAAAAAATTTAAATTAAATTAAAATTTACAATTCCAAATTCTCTCCCTCCCTTACCTCCCCACACCCCAAAATCGCAAAATGCTAGCTATTATTGTTATTTACATTATTTAATGAATAATTAATTTTGTTTACTTTATTTTTATTTAATTTCTTTAAATTGCTTTACTATTAATCATTATTATAGTTACTGGAATTCTTGTAGACCGTCTGCTATTAAGTTTTGAGTGGGTTGTGATGTATGTGACTAGAGGGACATTACATAGACATTACATAGTATTGAAGTGTTTAGTGCCTTTTTCTCTGACCTTTATTTCTCTTTACCTTTGACTCTGTTTTCATTAGTGTTTCTCTGTTTGCTTCTCTTTGCCCTTCTTCTCTCTGTCTCTTTTTCTGACTTTCTCTCACCCCTACACCCTCCTCCCTCTCTGTGTGTCCACCGGTCTCTGTGACTCAGTCAATTTTACCCTGGCTCTGGGCCATTCAATCTTGGGAGATGAATCCTAAGGACAGTCTGGATTTATGAGACACAAGGGTGGCTCGAAGCTGCACTAGACTCCACCCCTTCCCCAAAAGTGGCGAGAAGTTTTCCTTCCTCTACCCGTATTGGGATTTCCCCTTCATCTGGGGATGGCCAACTGAGAGGAGCTGGACAGGCCTCTGCAAACTTAAAGAGGATGTGAAACCTATCTAGGGAAAAAAAAAAGGATTTAGGAGCGGTTGGAAAATCTCAGTATGGAAGGGTAGTGGGGCTGGGAGAGGAGGTTTAGCTCTGAGCTGGCCCCCAGGACTGTTGGATAAGTAGACTGTGCTGGCCCCTGCTGATGTATCTGGGAAATGACTAAAATAGGGGAAGGAAAAATCTTACCACTGGGGAGGAAGGGAAATTAGGAAAGGGAGTCTAGAGTTAGAGTGAGAAAGGACCTGTAGGGGCAGCTAGGTGGTGCAGTGGATAGAGCACTGGCCCTGGATTCAGGAGGACCTCAGTTCAAATCCATCCTCAGACATATAACCCCCCCCCCCCAGAAAGAAAGGACCTCTTTTCTTACAGATGAGGTTGTGACCTGGTTATGGTCACCCAGTCCAGCACTAGGTGTCCAAGGACATTGTCCTTTTTCCCTCTACCCATACTGCTTTCTAAAGGGAAGCCACAGAATCTTGGACCTGAGGATCTCAGCACAGGAGAGATCTACATCTGTTTCAGCTGTGGGAGGGGGTTCAGAGTTTTTAGACTAAGGCTTCTGTAGAAAGAGGGTTGGATTTAGAATCTGAAGGATTTTTGCACTTGAATTCTGACTCTGCCAGTTGGGTGACTTTTTGGGTCTCACTTTTGTAAAATAAAGGAGTATACTGGACTGTGTGATTTTCTGGGCCTCACTTTTATTGGGCTAAATTACCCCTGAGGTCCCTTCTAAGTTCTAAGTCCTACAAAACCTATGTAAATAGAATCAATTAGGTGTCTGTATGGGGATAGCTGAGCCCTCTTCAAGTGGGAACTTTCCTCCTTCCCTTGCTTCAAAAGGGAAACTGAGGGAAGGTCTTCACATACACTAGACTAGGAGTTAAGAGACCTGGGTTGGAATCTTGGCTCCCACTGTACAATCGTGGACAGGGTACTTACACTTTCTGAGTCTCAGTTTCCTCATTGGTCCAAAGGAAATGATAATATTGCAACTAGGTGGTGCAGCGTGAGCAGAGAACCGAGAAGCAGGAAGACCTGAGTTCAAATTTGACCTGTGTGACTCTGGGTAGGTCATTTAACTTCTATCTGCCTCAGTTTCCTCATTTGTAAAATGAGGATAATAATAGCACCTATCTCTCAGGGTTGTTGTAAGGTTCAAATGAGATAATATTTGTAAAGCGCTCAGCACAATGCCTGGAACATACAAGATAATATATGAATATTAATTATTATGCTGGTGTCACCCACCTCACAGAATTTTTGTAAGCTTCAAAGTGCTATAGAAACATGAGTTATAGCTTCATTTTTAAACCATCCATTATTTTTTACTTTCGGAAAGTGTTTGTAATAAATACCACCACTAATAAACCCTGTTCCACCTTAAACAAACAAACATGTTTTGTTCTTACTCCAAAGCCTGCTAAGACTGAACAGTCAGGTCATGGGTTGAAGGGATCTTAGAGTCCAACCCCCCTATAGAGAGGAAAAGGGGGTTGAGAAAAGTTAAGTGATTGGCCCAAGGTCACATGGTAGTGGAGGCAGCATTAGAACCTAGGTCCTTTGATAGGAAGTAAATTCAGTGTTCTTCACTACCCAGTGACTGTCTGCTCCATTGGGTCTGAGAGCAGGTTTGGTTCCAGAACAGCCAGGCAAGAGAACGGGCGAAATGAGCTCCTCTTGCTCCCAGCCCCAACACTTGCTCCCCTATCCTGGGTGCCTCTTTGGTCCTGCCCCCATGTGCTACAATCCCCATCCCCTTCCTGGACCTAAGAACTCTGCCCCTTTCTTTGCTACAGCCTGAAGACCTGGAGGCGCCCACTACCCACACCTTCAAAGTAAAAACCTTCAAAAAGGTGAAGCCCTGCGGCATCTGCCGGCAGGTGATCACTCGAGAGGGCAGCATCTGTAAAGGTGAGTGGGACACTGGGCATCAAAGGGCTGGGGGAGGCGGGGACAAGACTGGATGGAACAGACTCCTTTGTACAGGGCTGGTGGCCCATGGGTGGTTTGGGCAGACCCTGGGCTGTCAAAGGTAAGTCCTTTCCCCTCAGGGAATGGGGTCATGCTTCCCCCTCCTCCCCACTTCCTCTACTGCTACACCATCCCCGTGCTGGCTCTACTATGCATTGCCCATCCTGGTGGGATGGGAGGGCAGGACACCCGGGCAGGATTGGGCAGTGGTTTGGTTTGGTTTTAGCAGAAAGAACACTGGACAGAAGACTTGGGTTGGACATTCAGCTATGTAACTGTGGACAGATCTCAAGCTCCCTAAGCCACTTTCCCTATCTGTAAAATGGCATAAATACTCGTAAGACAAAAAACGTTGCAAATTGTAAAGCTCTATGTATATCTGGATTATTATTATTAGGAAAGAGCATTTGAACAATTCAAGAGGGGTGGGAATTTTAGGGCCAAAGTCAATCAATAAGATTGACAAAATACCTACCCTATGATAAAATCTCGTTCTCACTCTAAGATTTTCGCAGTACTTTACCGACATTATCTTATTTGAACCTCACAATAACTTTGTGTGACTACAGGGGCTATTGTTGCCCCCATTTTACAGATGAGGAAACTGAAGCTCAGAAAGGTCAAGAGATTTGCTCTGAGTCACACAGCTATAAAATGTCTGAGGCAGGATTCAAATCCAGATCTTCCAGTACACCTTCCACAACTTCTTGTCGCTTCAGTACTGTCTGACTCTTTGTGACCCCACTTGGAGTTTTCTTGGCAGAGATACTGGAGTGGTTTGCCATTTCCTTTTCCAGCTCATTTTACAAATGAGGAAACTGAGGCCAAAAGGGTTAAGTGACTTGCCCAGGGTCACACAGCTACTAACAGTCTGAGGTTGCATTTGAACTCAAGTCTTCCTGACTCCAACCACTATGTTTCATATTTTAACTCTCCATATTATAACTTGTAGCATAGTTACTTGTGTATTTGTGCCCACTCAATAGTAGACTCTTCAGGTCATAGGCTTGTTTTTTGATAATTTTTGTCTCCATCCTTCCGGCAGCATCGCTGCAGATAGTATGCACTTAAAACGTTTTTGTTGAACTAAATGGGAAGCAAAAAGATCATTGTCCCAATCACAATGCAAAAGAGAGCACCGACCCTGTCTTTGTGTATGTTTTCAGTACCTCATAGTGGCCACATGGTGGCGTTGTCCTTCCACAAAGTCTGGGTGGGTAGGCTGGAAGTACTGGAGCTCTAAGACTGACGTCACTACTGTAAAGAGGCTGCCACTGTCTTGCATTATTGGCTCATTGAATTACTTTAATGTGAAGTTGTATAGACATGAGACTTCGAGCCCCTGCCCCTCTCCAGGTAACCTCTCTTGGCCTTCTCCCAGTGCCCTCCCTAGCCCACAGCCCCTCTCCACTCCCCTCAGATGGTCTCATCTGTCTCCTATTAAGTTATCTCTGGGTGGGAAGTACTTTCAGGCAGTACCTCTGGAAAAGAAAGGTGTTGGGTAGTAGAGTGGAATAGTAAGTCCTGGGTGAATGTCCCTGAGGCTGTAGCTTCTGCCCCAGAAATCACCTTGTACAGAGCCTGGTATATAGCTGGCATGAACCAGAAATCACCAGGAAGCTGGTGGCCAAGCTGGTTCGGCCACTCCTGGATGGGGAATAGGAGAAGTGGTAGCTGTGGCAGGTGGGAGGCAGTGGCATGAGGGAGATGGGAAGATTGGTACTGCTCCTTCAAAGGCCTTGCTCAGTATAGGGCCCCTAATGTTAAAAGGAAGGTGAAGGAGGCTAGAACTCTGTCTTTACTAGCTCCATACAGTCAACTCCAAGGAAATTCTAACTTAAAACAATACCAACCACAAAAACAAAAAAACCAAATAAAAATCGCAAAACAAATAAACAATCAAACAAACCTAGCTGGAGGCTAAGGGTAGGGATGAGGGAAGTGGCTCTTCAGGGGGGTAGGAGAACTGTGTGCAGACTTCGAAGGCTGGCAATTAAAGATTCATAGAATGTTAGAGGTGGAAGAGATATCAGAGGTCATTCAGTCCCACAAGCTCCAGTCCTGGAGGATAGAGATCATGAGATTATTTAGGCATCCATAGGCTCAGAATGTTGTAGCTTGAAGACTTTAGAGGTCATCTAGTTCAAATCCTTCTCTCAGTTTGAAGAAATTAAGGCATGGGTAGTCACATAGGTTATAAGGGTCAATCTAAAAGGCTTAATAGTTTAGGTGAAGTCCAAAGTAGCCTCTCCAAGCCCCTTCTAGTGGTTGGGATTTTATTACTAATGACAGAGGAGTCACCTTTTGGTTTTCTTACATATATCTGTGTTTCTCTTTACCATTTGCCAAGCTCTTTCACATCCATTCTCTCCTTTGATTTAGTAGACGGGGCTGGTATTTTACAAAGGAGGAAACAGAATGCTGCCATGTTTGGTGATTTGATCAAGGTTACATAGCTAGAAAGTAAAGCAGTCCCATAGATAGGGAAAGAGCCAGAACCCTGAATCCTGGAGACAGGTCTCCTGCTTCTCTCCCTTCTGTTTCTGTTTCTTACAGGATGTTTCTCTGTGTCCAAAAAAGGGAAAACTCAGGCATGGAATGGAGAAAAGAAAGCCCCAGTTGCGGCTGTATGACATAAATCGGGCTGGACACATTCTTACAATGCTAGCTCATTGGGCTGAATCACTTGAGATGGTTGGTGATTGTGCCCGGTGTCATCATACCCTACCATGACAGGTGGGGTAATGGCCACCTGTCCTCTAGTTAAATCCACTGGCAGCTAGTGTACAGGCACATAGTTGGATGTAGGCTCTGACCATTCTCATCCTAAGTCTTCACTGTTTCTAATAAGGCTGCTTCCTAGAAACACTAGGAGAGTGACCAGCCAACCAACTCTGAAGCCCACGACCTGCCCCCCTGAATGGCTGTGAGTGACACAGACCCAGCCCTCAGAGCCTCTCGCTTCCCACACTTCCCTGCCTAGCCAGCAGACCTCTCCCCAGGGAGGACATATCCAACCTTAAAGGAGCAGGAACCTCTCCCACAGCTTCTGCATTGAAGAACGAGAAAAATGAATGAGGTTTGTTTGCCTCCTTGTCACCATCCTGGGTTCCCAGGGGTCCCTAGTCCACACCTGAGGGGCGTCTAACCTGGGTGACTCAGAGACATCTCTGTGACTGCTCTCCCCTCCCCAGTGTGGTAGGCAGCGCTTCTGGGGCTGGTTCACCTTTTGCCCCGTTCCGTTTTGTACGCAGTTGCTTCCTCTTTGTGTCCTTGCTGACCAGCTCAGATTCAGAGCTTTTGGTGCTTAAAGACTTCCGGGGGCTACTCAGCACCCCTGAGGTCACTGTACACTTGGCTATAGTGGAAGAAGGTTGGACTTAGCTGAAGACCCGAGCTTAAATTCCTGCCTCTTTTTTTAACTCAACCTTGCAAAAATAGCTGTCTCTCTCTGGTCCTCAGTTTCCTCAAATGTAAAATGAGACTAGGTTGGACCAGATGATCTCTAAGGACCCTTTAAGCTCGAAATCTTATAATCTCCCCCTCTATTTTCTAGGTGTGTGGGCAGGTGCTGACTCCAGCCCAGACAGATGGGGGTTTCCCCTATTTTTATGGATCTAAATATAATGAGATTTCACGGTCTCTCTCACAACTTACAGCTCTTAGAGTAGGAAAAGCATGAACCTTTCAGCGCTACCTCCAGCTGCAGTTTCAGCTCATTTGGGCCCTATTCGCCTTGCAGGTGAAAAACAGAGAGCTGTAAATGGTTTCAATTTAGGGGCTTGGGTTGGAGATTCAGCCCAGTCTTTGGTTGGATTGCTGTTAAATTGGTGTTTGCATTAAATGTTGACTTTAAAGTAATGAAAAATTTTAAAATAATAAAAAGAAAAATAATTTTTTTCCCAAAAAGTAAGTTAAAGAGATAAAGACCATGACAGAATTAAACCTCAGCCTATTCTGCCAACCAAGTCATCCCAGCTCTTTGACTCTTTACTCTGAAAGATAAAAAGGGGACCAGAAGTGGCCTGGTCATCTTAACAAGTTCTTCTCTCACCTCCTTTAACTTATTAAGGAAAGGAAAGGATGGAATCTCAAACACAAAATATTCTGGAATGGGAGGGGTAAATAAAGGGCACATTTCTTACAAGGACCTCCAAGTACATGACAGGTTGTGTTTCCTTGATCTCAGGTTTTTATTTCTCTCTCTCTGTCTCTCTCTCCTCTTTCCCCCTCTCCCTTTCTCTGTCTCAGATTTTTCTATCTTCCTTTTCCCCTTCTCTCTCTTTTTTCATCCCCCTTTTCTGTCTCTAACTTGTTCTCTCCTTCACCATCTCTCTCTTCTTTTTCTTTGTTTCCCTCCCTCTTCATGCATCTCTCTCTCTCTCTCTCTCTCTCTCTCTCTTTCTCTCTCTCTCTCTCTCTCCTCTTTTGGCCTTTCTCTTTGTCTATCTGTTTTTCTTTCTGTCTCTTTCCCTGTCTCTCTCCTCTCCTGTTTGTCTCCCTTCTCCCTCTCCCTTTCTCTCTAATTTCTCTGTCTTTCTCCCTGTCTCTATCTCTTTCCTCTGTTTCTCTCTCCTTCCTCTCTTCTTTCCCTTTCTGTTTCTCTTTCTCTTTCTGTTTTTCTCCCTCTTCATATCTCTCTCCCCTTCTCTCTCTCTCTCTCTCTCTCTCTCTCTCTCTCTCTCTCTCTCTCTCTTCTCTCTCTCCTCTCTTCATCTCTCTCCCCCTCCTTGCCTTTCTCTCTGTCTGTCCTCTCTGTTTCAGTCTCTTGTCTCTTTCTCTGTCTGTCTGATCACCTTTAAGTCCCGATTCAAGGGGCTGCCTTTGACTTGAAACCTTTCTGATCTTTGCAGCTGCTAGTGCCTTCCCCCTAACTTTATTTCTTTGTTACCTTGTATTTATTTTTATTTTGGCTTGAACCTTCACTATCTGGATGACCC